TGTGAGTATTTGCTGCGCATGGATGTGTGCCCTCTATTGTCTATGTACTGTGAGTATTTGCTGCGCATGGATGTGTGCCCTCTATTGTCTATGTACTGTGAGTATTTGCTGCACATGGATGTGTGCGCTACACTGTCTATGTACTGTGAGTATTTGCTGCACATGGATGTGTGCGCTCTATTGTCTGTGTACTGTGAATATTTGCTGCACATGGATGTGTGCGCTACACTGTCTATGTACTGTGAGTATTTGCTGCACATGGATGTGTGCGCTCCATTGTCTATGTACTATGAGTATTTGCTGCACATGGATGTGTGCGCTCTGTTGCGTGGGTTTAGCTACCTGCTAGCCTTTCTGCTCAGAGCGGCTGGCCGTGATGCTCCCCTGGCCAGCGGCAGCCCTGGGCCTGTGTGTCACACTATAAATGCAGATCTCTCACTGTTTCGGGCTGCTGCCTCTCCCTACCTTGCAGGCCTGCCGGACCTCAAAAAGGTGGTTGTCATTCCATACGCCCGCTCCAGGGAAGAGACGGATCTCTCTCGAATTCCAAACAGGTCAGTTTGCGGGGCAGTGTGAGGCATCTGACTTCAGCGATGGAATCTGTATCCGAGACCCGTTAGGCTATGAAGTTGTGCTTTTCAAAGGACGAGCGACTGCATGTATAGCGACTGCTGTATTAATTCCAGCCATGTCCCTTCAGGCGATATGTGCCGCAGTTCATGTCTCAGGAGGCGGACTTGCTTTCTCCTAATATCAATTAATCTATGCTGCTGCTTAAAACTGCATATGTTGAATAATGGATATAATAAGCCATAATGATGATGATGATGATGATGGTCTTTTGTAAATAGATGCTTGCAGCCTTCAGAGTATTTGCTTACTGTATGAGGATATGTTGTCCTGCAAGAGAATGCGATTAGGGGCGGTGAACCCAGTGACCCTCCATGGATGGGGCGGAGCTTGAGACACCCGGCCCCCTCCTGTGTACGATGTCACCACCTGGGTTGCTAGGAGATTAGCTGACTGCAATGCTGTCCTGCCCCCCCCCTTCTAGCGTGTTCCTGGAGGACTTCCTGTCCATGGGGAAAGAGGGGGACCAGGATCCGCAGCTGGAGTTTGAGCAGCTGCCGTTCAGCCACCCGCTGTTCATCATGTACTCCTCTGGGACCACTGGCTCACCCAAGTGCATGGTTCACTCTGCAGGGGTAGGTACCACGGGCAGATGAACTGATTTAACTGGCAAATGAGGAGCTGCGGGGAAATGCCAATGCGCTATACTGTAGGGTGCCCCAGATAGGAGTCTCTGGGCAAAGAATGTCTTCTCATGTCATGTGACGGCACCTCTTCTCATTGCTCTGTTTGCCATGTATCTCCTGACCTGCTCTGTAGCCATGGTGGGCCCTGTGCCCAAGGTCAATATGAAAAGCTTCATTCGGTTACTATGGTGATGGTGGCTGGGGCTTCCCGCACCAAAAGTCAGCATGTTACCGGGGGTAAGTATTAACTGGCGTCATGCTTTGGCACTTCGCAGCGGGGCATCGGGCAAAATCATGAAAAGCACTTCTCTTTTTTTCCAATGTTTTTCTGCCCCCCACCTCTTTGTTTTTTTTTCTCTTTCTCAAAATGAGCCCCAGCTAGGCTGAAATGTCAGGCTTTTTTTTGTCCTGCAGTCCACTAGGTGGCAGCAAAGCCTTACCATCAGTATCTTGGTTTTTAGATGCTGAAAACACTGTTATGATCAGATAGTCTGCTCTGAATTTACTTCATTTACTGACCTTGTGCGTTCCTTTGAGAACAGGAAACTGTGTTCCAGTCTAATGGGTGCAGACACACAAATATCAATGTTTTGTGCAGAAAAAGTTAATTTGAACCGTGCTTGTTGGCAGCTTTCGATCATTATCGGTTATATCCTAAAGTAGTTTCACTATCTGCAATGACTGTGGTCTAACTACATAACCACATGGCCACTAGCAACTGAATGTTCTTCATTTTCATTCCAACAAGTAACAGTAATATGATAAAGCAAACTATATTGATCCCAGGGGGAAATTCTTCTGCATACAGCACTGAGGTGCAGACTAGCATGATGCACAGTATTTTTTTCGCCTCTTTCTAAAAATGCTGCTTAAATCTAGTATTGTTAAATGTTTTTGAAACATTTCACCAAAAATGATCTTCTCATTTGTTTTATGCAATTAAAATTTGGCGGATAACCTTTTGCAAATGGACAGTGCATAATTACTGTATGTATATAACGTAACGTCAAATACCTGTATGCGTATGGTGAGGAGGGCTGTAAGTACAGCATTCACTCCAGTAATGTGGCATCCATCCAAAGAGAACCCTACAGCAATGCACTCTACCCTAACCACGTTTGTAATAAAGACTCCCCAACTTCATGAAAGTTTATTACATAAGAAACACATCTGTTCAGTAATCTGGAGAGAGTGGCCTAAACCAGAGCACACTTGATTGGTCCGGGTAGCTACGGCCTAAACCAGGGCACACTTTTTTGGTCCGGGTAGCTACGGCCTAAACCAGGGCACACTTTTTTGGTCCGGGTAGCTACGGCCTAAACCAGGGCACACTTTTTTGGTCCGGGTAGCTACGGCCTAAACCAGGGCACACTTGATTGGTCTGGGTAGCTAAGCTTGCTCGCCTGACCTAGCAGCCCAGGTGTCATTTGGCTCAGGTCTTGATTTTCAGGTCTTGGTTTTGGCTTTGCACAGCGCCCTAACTGGCACGGAGACAGGCGCTTTGCCATGGGCTGCCCTTCCCAGCACGCTCTCTCTCGCTTGCTCGTTCTCTCCCTCGCTCGCTCTCTCTGTGGCCTGGTGCCATGGAGATGTCCCCTCCTTTCCCCACAACCCTGGACTTGAATCAGGGGCCATGCAGGCCTGTAGCTCCATATGCCAGCTTGCCCCCCCTTGCCCCCCCTGGCCTGTAGGCAGCCATGATCATTGCCCGACAGCCTGCCACTGAAAATCCTGCCTGACTCCTCAGTCTTATGGAAACTCGCTCAGGATGCCCATGACCTGCCATTACGGCTCACCTGTTACTCACTTTGGCAAAGTAAAGAGGCTGTGTTCTGATTTGCGACTTGGACCTAATGTCTGAGATGGAAAAATTGGGGGTGCCTCTTCAGTAGCTTAAATTTGGGGTAGTGTACTTTTCTAAGATGTACAACCACTGAATTTCGGATTGTCGGTAGGTTACAGGTTACGTTAACATTATTTTGGATGTGCAAATTCTAACTGGATTGCATGTCTATTCTGCCTCCGTGAAGTCTCAAGTTATGTAGGAACATAAAGTAAGAGATGAATATTTAATTAATAACTTTGTGAAGCCAGAGCCCATTTTCAATTTATGTCTTTTCAGCAGTAACGTTAATATTTGGCTGCATTTTAATGTCTGCTATAAGTGGATGGTGCCTGTGTGTGTGTGTCATGGTGACATTTGTTACGGAGATGTGTGTGTGTGTGTGTGTGTGTGTGTGTGTGTGTGTGTGTGTGTGTTACACTGACATTGTGGGTCTTTGTGTGTTACACTGACATCATTATTGCAGCAGCCCCATGAGCTAGTATGAAATGCCAAATTATTACCCAAATTAGATCAAAGAGCCACCTGCTGTGTATCGTGGGGCTTGGGTCATGGGATGGGATGGGTGAGAGTGTGTGCCACACCCCACCGGTGCATCTGGGCAGCCCTTCAGCTGTGACCTCTGGCAGCTCTGACTCTTGGGGGAGGGGGGTGGTATTCCACTATAATGTGGGTAAATGAGGAGTGAACTTTCCTGCCGTACATGAAGAGAGGGATACAGGCATTAACAGCCGATAATGCAGTGTGTATGGTTTCACTGAAATAATGAGCTCCCTGATGTATTATCATATCATATTAGGTGTGATGAGAAGCTATATGTACACTGATTCTCCAGGTGCAGGATTCGGGGCCCTTTATAATTAGCGCATTTCATGTATTTCTCAGAGGAAACAAAGTACAGTGATCCCCGCCTATCGCGGAAGTTACGTTCCAGACCCACCAGCGAAAGGTGAAAATCCGCGACATAGAAAGACGATATAAATATGTTTTTTTATAGTTTAAGCCCTAAGTCGTAGGGCTTAAAACAAAACGAAAAGTTCACAAAAAGTTTGCTCACAACAGTCGGACCACAAGCAAGATACGCGATATGCAGAGAACTGCGATGTGTCGGGGAAAAATCCGCGATATAGCGGGAGCGCGATAGCTGAACCGCGATATAGTGGGAGCGCGATAGCTGAACCGCGATATAGCGGGGGCGCGATAGCTGAACCGCGATATAGTGGGGGGAGGGGTCACTGTATATGTGTGCAAACACAAGGCTGAGAGTGAGTTTTAAAATAATCCTTATTTTTTATTTTGTACATTTTAGTTAAACGTAGATGGCTTTTTATTAATGGTCCAATATGAGTAGGGCACACACACATACACACACACACATATACACGCACATGCATACACACACACACATAGACACACGCACATGCATGCACACAAGCACGCGCATACACACAAAGGCACACACAGGCACACGCATACACACCCACACTCGCACAGACGCGGATACACACACACGCATGCGTGCATTCAGTGTGACTCATTAAGTCGGTGATTGTCAGTGCAGTGGTGAGCAGGTTTAGGGGCCGTAAATCCTCCATCCTGGCATTTGCAGTGGCGGCTGCTGATCTCTGAGGATCTGCCTCATGTTGTAGGTTTCAGTGGTTCTGCATGCGCAGTGCGCCTGTCAGCATGTTCACTGGGTTTTGTGTGCATTGTTCCCCCCTATTTTCCTTGGCTTTGGGTAGCCCACAAAGACAAATCCAGAAGCACATTTTGCTCACATTTATTCATTGGGCACAGAGCTGCTTTCCTCTGTTTGTTTGACAGTTGCAGCTTTCGTTCCAGATTAGCACAGTCCTTTTGTTTGTCCCTGGCATTAGCTTTCCCAACCTGCCAAATTACCAATCGTGGCAGTGCTGCTTTTTTGTTTTTTGTTTTATGTATAATCAGTTGCATCACTTCTCCATACTCTTCACACTGATGCATTTCTTCCATCTCTCAAGATACAGCTCTGAAGTGGCTACTTTCCAAATACAAAATTGCCACTTTATCTTTGTTATATGCAAAGGTGATTGACTTCATCAAGTAGAGGCAGTGGTGGGGATCCTGTGATTTGAGGAAACGTTTGCACTTCTGTCTTGGGTGCTGAAGCACTTGCAGTAACTGTTTCTGTGCCCCCCCCCCCTCTCTCTCTCTCTCACTCGCAGGGAACGCTTATCCAGCACTTAAAGGAGCACATTCTGCACGGTAGCATGGCCAGCAGTGACATCATCATCTACTACACCACGGTATTAAAGACAAACGTACCACTAATATTAGATAATAAACTATAATATCTATTGTATTTTAAAGCATGTATCATTAATACTTGAATGCTTTAGAGAATAAGGTATCATAGTACTGACCTCCATTGTGTAGCTTTCTACCAAGCTCTAACAATTATGCACAACTCACACAATCCACAAGCCAGAAATCAAGCAGAATCTCTGCTGTCACAAAGCAGGCCCACTAGCAAATGACAGTCAGCCTTTGGCCTTGGTGTCCGCAGACCAGACGTCTTCTAGCCTTGAACTGGAGGACTGTGGTTAGTGCAGCGCTCCCTATAACGAACAGCCCCCCCCCCCCCCCCCCCACCCCCACGAGAGTCACCGCTAAAGCAACTCAATTAAGGAGATAATTGGCTCCGTCAAGTATTTGAAAATGCACAGTAGTCCTCCAGGAGCAGTGAAGGCCTCCGATCTCACATGTGCAGTATGTCCTCTGTGTTCCCCCAGACGGGCTGGATGATGTGGAACTGGCTCATCTCTTCTCTGGCGGTGGGGGCATCTGTGGTTCTCTATGATGGATCCCCTCTGGTTCCCACGGCCAACATCCTCTGGGACCTGGTTGACCGACTAGGGTAAGCTGGGGCTGTGGGGTGGACAGATCACAGCAGAAAGCCAACTGTGTGAGCAAAGAAGATGGCTTGAGCAGGGCAGGAGGCCCTGAAGGTGTCACTGTTTGGGTGGGAGGGTGAGAACTATATATGTATTTTTTGTTGTTAATGTAGCAACAGTCTTGCAGATCACTTGTTAGTACAGCTTTGGTAGAGCATTTCCCCCATTGCCCCATGGGAAATGAAGACCAGTATTCGTCTGAAGAACATTTGAAAGCTGAAGAACCTTTGAAAGGAGCTTTGCAGTTGACACATGTTGGCCACGTATTAATGGAACATTTATACAATTCTCAGATTGGATCTCCTTTATTATGTATTCATCTGGAGGGGCTATGGAATAAAAGCTTTCTTTCAGAGATGGCACAATATCATTTTGAGTATCTTACAATACCGATACCAATCTGATGTATTTCCCCTTTATCAACTACTGTGCATTAAATGCGATATTTGTGACAGTACATTTCAGTTAATATGGGAAACTATCTGCATTTATTGCTGTAACCACATTGTTTGGCTATGCTAAGAACAGAGAAATGTAATGTTGCTCAAAGAAAGGCTTTGCCACTATGCTAGAGGAAGAAATCCACAACCAACATGATTCACACAAGTCTGCTTCTTTAACAAAAATGAACAGAAATACTCCTTAAAGGGCGAAGGAATCTATCATAAAAATATTACTGTATACCCGAACTAACCATTTCTAGTCAAAAACTTTGTGTATGGTTTGTTGTGCTATGGCTGCAGACATTTTTGGGATTTTTCAGGCTAGACCTAAATCTAATGGAAAATTGGATTGGTATTTACTCCAGCATCCCCCCCACCCCCCTGATACAGCATTTTTTTGCCGGTATCTGGTCAGTGCCGTCTCTCCTTGCTTTCCCTTGAGACAATTTTGATTAGAATTTTTGAATTCAATATTAAAATATGTTATCTTTAACTTCCCAGTTATAATAACCAGGTTTAGTCTGCTTTCTTGTAAATAAGGAACACTTTAAGGAAAAGGCTTACATTTAATTTCAGTGGTGTGTAGATTAATTTTCCAGACTTTGAAAGCGTGTACAGTCTCTCTCTTGGGGGTTGAGTAGCAGTGCTATGTTAAGACAGTCTAACACAAGTCCTTGTCATTCTTCAATAGTCTGCTGTTGGTTGGAAATTGCTTTAGTGTGCACTGAGCAGAGAATGGCCTTTATCTGTTCTGTGTTTCTTTTGGTCCCTGAGTTCCACAGAGAGCACAATTTGCAGTATCTTGCAGGTTCCAAGCTTAACACAAATTGCATGCATTCATAGTCGTCTTCTGTTTGTTGATGTGTTCAGCATGTTTTTTGCGTTTTCACTTGAATCCCTGATGCAATGCAAATGATAAAATGTAGCTGTTTGAAACATGCTTATTACCTGCAGAGTCGGCCTGTCCCAGGCCTGTTTAAATAATTAGAGAAATTACATGTTATATTATTTATCTTGCAGAACCTCCTATTCAGAAGAGACCGGGGGGGCTGCCCAAGGCAGCAGGGGGGGCATCGTAAACAGGATATCAAGTTTTCTAAATTGGCTAATGGCAGACTGACTGACAGACAGAAATTCCTCCTCATAACCGACAACACATGTGATCTAAGAAATGCATGCAGTGTAAAATACGTGAGCAGTAGCGAACGCCTTGTGTATCTTTACTGATGTTCTGCGGGGGGCATAGAGCTAAACTCTAACAAAAATGTAATCATTACTTTTTCCAACCATTTATTATTATTATTATTATTATTATTATTTTGTTTTAGGAATCCATCCAAAGGTTATACAAGCCTGGATTTAAAAGGCATAGAACAATGCTTCCACTTACATGTCCAGCCAGAAGAGATCCCTCCTCCCAAATCCCATTTATATTTGCAGAGTAATGGGGAGCGACTTGCTAAGCGGGCGTGAAGAGCTCACGGCCTGGTCCACACCTGTTATTTCCTCTGCAATTTGGCTGAGCTGGAAGGATAAGGTGCGAGGAGATTACCCTGACATTCAGTCACAGGGTTATACTAGGTGCTAGAGTGAGACTGCGAGTAGTTAAGTGCCCAAAGCTGCATTTAATTGATGTTGCTCAGTGTCGCAAGTACAATAGGCCTTTTCCGCTTACCCTAACACTGACACACGCCAATTTTCCAACCTCCCCCCCTTTTTGTATTACCCTAGAGGTATACTTAGTTCATACGCTTTCTCCTGTAATTGTCATCAAAGCCATTTTCACAAAAAGATGACATGATATATATTTTCTGGATGGTCTCTTCCCTGCCAAAACAAATAATACATCTGTCTTGGGTGTATCATTACAAGCCTTACATCTTGGTACTCATGCAGTGCCTGTGTTTAACTGTATTGAAACTAAATTTGTCATTTATGAGGAATTTGCAATCAAAGTTAAACATGGGGTGTCCCAGTGGTGTGTCAATCAGTTGCTGAGAACTTGCTAGTGATTTGCTGTGCGATTGACCTAAAACTCATCAGAATAACTGCTGGCAAACAGGCGTAAAGGATGGCGAAGTGGCTTTGACCACCATGTAACAGTGGGATACTGTTAATGCGTGAATTTAAGGGTAGATGCTCAGCGTGTGTCTTCATTATAATGACTCTGTCACTGCTCTTTGCGCTCTAGGCTTTTGTGTTAAGTTAGATTTGAGCTGGATTACAGCAACAGAAAGTGAAAATGATGGTGAAGTTTATTCATTCACATTTATTTGCACTTGTATGACTTCACAGCACTGTGTTTGTGTGTCTTTGCACAGCCAATAATCCATGGGTATTTGTGGAAGTTATCCTTGGGGGTTTGTGGGGGGGCTGCTTTTTGTTTATTTTTGCAAAACAGAATATGACTGGTTTATATCTTGATAATCTTTTATATCTTTTATTTATTTGTGTGTGTGTGTGTGTGTAGTATGTGTGTGTGTGTGTGTGTGTGTGACTCATTTACTATTCTCATACTCTAACTCTGTATCCCCACTAGTTAGAACCTGAACTTCCGGCCGTCCAGTCTAGCCGGAGCCTAATTTCTATCAGTATGACCATCAACTTAATAATGACATTTGGGCCAGCAGACCCTTTGGTTCATACGTACCACGTCCTTCCTTGAAATCACTATGAGTAAATGCTATCTAATGTATTATAGTGGTTTGGTTTTGCTCCTGTAAAACGGAAAAGCAGGCCTCCTAAAATCAGTCTTGGCTCAGTTGTGTTTATTGCTGCGCAGGATGGTCAGGGTATTTTCCTCTCTCCACTCATATTTGTGGCCAGTGAGCTTCTATCCTCATATAATGAGTAGCTGAATGCTCAGGGGTCGCCTGGGTTTCGTGGTTCTAACAGAAGCTTTGGTAATACCTCATAATGAAGTGCTGCTGAGCCCTTAGGAGGACAGACTGTGTTCAATGACAAGGTTCTAACAATTAGATTAACAGACGTTTATCTTGGGTGACCTACAAACTGTTGCTGGCAGCTTTTGCCCTTTAGTGATGCAGTTAAGGTTGTACCACTTTGCTCACCAGTACAAGCTCAGCTCCTCCTCCGGGATTTGAACCTGCTGCTACCTGCTGCCTGTTAATAAAAATGCCTATTTAAAATTCAAATGCCTGTTCAAGCCAAAGGCTTCCTGGCCTGACTCCAAATTGGTTTGCCTTGTTTTTATTAAGTTTATTGAGTTTTACTGCACAGTGCACTGGTGGAGCTGTTGGTGAGTTTATTGCTGAGGCCTTGGGGAGCTGGCAATACCTCATCTTCTTTTTTTAAAATAGCCATACATTAACAGCGGACTGAAAAACTGCTCATTTAAACTGGATGTGGCAGAGAGAAGTGGAGGTATGCAGGGGGAATTTTCACACTAAATGGCTAAGTGTTTTTTTTTGCATCTGTGATTGCTTGTCGGGGAAAAAAGTGACTTTGTCCTGCATTTATATCCTAACAGCAGTGGTCTGAAGAAAAAACAATCGATATTGAAATTCCCTGCTGAAAAGCATTAATACCGCCGTAGTCGCTGGTTTTCTTTGGAGATCAGAAGCCAGCCTTAGTGCTCCGCTAGATAACTAGGCGACAGACAGGGCACTTGAGTCTGGTGTACCTGGTATCCATGACATCCTGGAAGTCCTTCAGATAGATGTATCTGTCAGACCTGCATTAGCAGCTTATAATGGGATAAAGACCTTTTCTTCTGTGTGAGAGATTTAACTGGTAGGAAGCTGAGGGGATGAGTTGTGCATTTAAACGGGCCCAAATGTTGGCTGTTGGCCTTGCTTATGTTTCCTCATTTAAGATTTCAGGGTGAGGTGATTATGTGCAAAATAGGGATGGAATTTATAATACAGAGCCTTTCAATGTATGCTACTGTTCTGTCAAACTATCAGCTAGACACAAGCAAGACAAATGCTACTTTCTGCAAATCTTTGTTTTGCACTTTATAATCTTTGGTAAACTTATGTAATTGTGGCTGAAGTGATTGTAAAACTTTCAGAGTCTTCCTGGCACTGGCTGAGCTTCATGATGCTAAGAATCCAGGCAGGATGGAAGAGCCATTAGCACTGCAGCCTGATGGCAGCAGGGAAGGAGTTTTGCAATAAGCAGCGTGTAGCCCTCAGTGTGGAGCCCCCCCCCCCACCCGTCTGAGGGCAAACTGATGGATCTGAGCTCGCAGCACCGGGAGGGCGGCTGTGCTCGACTCATCATCCGGCAAAGTGGCCGATTGATTCTTACGGAAGCGCCTTACCTCTGCTTTAATGGTTTAATGGTATGTGAAACGAGTACTGCCACGAGGCCAAACAGGCAGGCAGTTATTCAGAGAATCATTGCGACTAGCCCAAGGTGTTAAAATATATAAGCGATGATGTCATTGGGCCTAAAGTGCACGGATATAAAGAGAACTGCGAAACCTCTAAAGCCTTCCAGAGGAATTATTATGAACAGTTTAGCCCTCTGGTCCTCGTACCTGGACGTTATCACAGAGCACTGTGGCAGATTGTCACCCCCAGTTTGATTATGGAAACCCGGTGTCCACATGCCGCTCTCCCCCCCTCCCCCCCATACTACATGCCTTATGGGACTCACGGGCTCTGCAGGAAAGCCTCCATGTCCCAGGATTCCCTGGGCAGGCCTGCACTTGGTCCATGGAGACAGAAACACCTGATGGTTAGTGTGTAGCTGGCTCAATTACACATTCTGTTGCGCCTGCCTGTAGTCTTAAACTACGGCTATTGACAAATTGGCAACGATGTGTTTGAGCGCAAAAACAGAACAAAATTTTTTCCCAAATGTTTTGATTATTAACATGACGCAATGGAGTTATATAGCCTGCAGTTTAAGACCTTGTGATTGTATTTCACATTTGAATTTTGATAGCATTGTTACTCGTTATTGTATAGACTGTTCAGATTTTCACATGTTCAAATTTACATTTTATTCGCTCGGTTAACAGAATTGCCTTTATTTTGCAGAAGAGCAATCTATGGACTTGTGTACGGGTGTTTGAAACTGTTTGTCTTTGTCCTGCAGGATCACCATTTTTGGAACTGGTGCCAAGTGGCTGTCCGTGTTGGAAGAGAGAAATCTCAAGCCAGGTGAGTGCAAAGCGCAATGTGGCGTTTTCTAGCCGTGAGGAGGAGCAGAGCTGACTAGCCTCAAGTTTTGCTTTTGAGTGTTTATGCTCTTGGTGATAATGTTAATGATTTGTGTGCTCCAACAGCTGCCGATGTTACATTAAGATGCAATTAAAATAATTGTAGATGCATTGTATTTCTCCAAGTGAGAGCCCTTGTTGCTTTAGTGAATCGCGATTCCCCTCCGTTTAGTGGCTTTGAGTATGCAACTCAGAACCAGCGAATGCTTGATGAACTCCCAGTGATTGGGTCCCATTAAAACAGAGCCGCAGATTGTCCTTAATACTGTATATTTATTCCACGGCTCACTTGTTAGACCCCAGAGTGCCGAATCACGTCCTGATTACCCCGATAACAGCTACCCATGTTTATTCATAAACACAGGAGGGGGGATTCGCATGGGAAATGGCTCGGATGAAGGGCACCAGAATCTTGCCTCCATCATGTTATGCTTTTTCACTCTTTATTCTCTGATGTAGCACATTTAGGGCATCAGCGAATCACTAGTGTTAAACTCACGTGGCCCTGTTTTGTGAGGTAATACTGTACTAAGGATTTAGGGTTAAGTAGTGCTTGGTGATATTTGCAAGGCTTGTAGCTTGTAAGCACTACTTAGCTTGAAGATATTAAGGAATAATTACAACTTGCAAAAAGCAGTGGGGGGGGGGGGGGGGTTGGACACACTCTCACACACACACTCACACTCACACACACTCACACTCACACACACACAGAGCCTGGAGGTGTGAGGCAGCACTGATACCCACTGACTCACTATAGAGAGAAGCACTGGCCAGTGGTAACTGCCAATATGAAAGATTTGTAAATAATGTGAGGGATGTTAAAAGCAGGTGTCTCCACATAGGTGTGGGCTTCCATGGTTTAAGCCATCATGCTTAGGGTTGTATATAAAAATGCTGGAGAAGGTAAATTGGCCATTATTTTGTCCACTATGGCTCTGGGTGTCTGCAGGACTTCAGTCGGCTTCTTCGGCCGGCTCCTGATGAGTAATCCTCTTATGCCCAAAAGTTTCTCAAGTTGTTCTGTGGTGTGACAGAGTGATTCATTATTTTTTTTTTTTCCAATTTCCTCTTCTGCAGGCGTTGTTTTAGGTCTGTTCAGAGTGATTAGTCATTAGTGAGCATTTCCATCTGGATAGGAGCAGCCTCACATACAGTCTCCATTCACAGTGCTCACCCATTGGTTTAATGGGCATGAAATTTATGAAGATCATATTCCAGCATCCTTGCAGTCACCAGTGGAGCAGTTCTGGTAAATTCTGGAGTGACTGCTGACACAGTTGTCCCCCACGAGCCAATGCCGTCACCTGCCTCCCACGGAGCCCCAGAAACTCGCAGAATCCATGCCAGGGTGCCGCTGGCAGCTCGGTGGCTGAGTGCCGTGTTTACGTTTTTCGTTAACGTATCCTTTAATTTGGAGGGCTCCCGACTAGACACTTTTTACTGCTTCGAGAGGCATCCCCGTTGTATAAGAAACTCTGTAGAAGTTTCTCCATCAGATGCTGTTCAGCTAGTTGGCTCCTTATATAAATGTTTCGCCCCTCGGTTAGGAGTCGAGCCTTTAATTTTATTCTGTTTATCTGCACTCCTGCATGGCTGCTGCTCCAGCCGGGGAGGAGGCCTTCGCCATGTCAGTGCTGTGGGGGCGCTGGCATATGTTTATGGGATTATGGGGGAGCGGGCTCTCTCTGCCACCGGAGGTCCCGTCCTTCTGATGACATTTAGTGTGAACACCTGGCCTCTCTGTGGGGGGGGCAGGGGGGGGCGTCTCTGCAGCACCCCCCTTCACGGGCGGACAGGCCTGCGGAGGGGGCTGCTTGACAGGGTGCCAGCGATGTGCAAATTAAACAGAAAAAGAAAAATCAAAACAAAACACGGACAGATTCCTGCCTGATCGGCGGCCGCCGGGAGAGACGGGTGTCACTGCGATTCACTGGTGTGTTTTTATTGTGGCCTGTTTGCACTCAGCGTTTTATCATGAACTCGTAGTGTATTTTTAAAGCTTGGATGTGAGTGTGACGGCAGACGGGCACGCTCCCCGTCTTCAAAACGGCGCTTTCGTTATTTGCTGTGCCGTTTGGAGAAGCTCTCTCCGCCAAAGGGTGTCACTGTTACACTGTTACACCACATTCCCCTAACCAGTCCTTTGTCCTCGGCATTAAGGTCAGTTCATCTGTGTTTGTGCTGCTGTATACCTGTTGACTCGAATGAGTACCTTGGTTAGATATGGATGAAGCACAGTGCTTATTGTACATGTGTCTAATAAGACATTTACTTAAATAAAGAACATATTTATAACAGATCTTGCTGATGAGATGCTGCAGTACTAACTAGGGGTAGCATGCAGCCAGAGTAACCCACAGGTCACAGATTGAGTTCCTGAATTTATCCTTTAATATATTTGCATTGTAAAAACTATGTGCAGATAGTAATTATGTTATTGACGGTTTTGGGAGTGTCTGTATATTGGATGGTAATTGACATCATTACACGTTTCCTCTTTCCATGGCTCTCACGCGCTCTTCCCGTCCGCAGCCGAAACACACAGCCTGCAGAGTCTCCACACCATCCTGTCCACGGGCTCCCCGCTGAAGCCCCAGAGCTACGAGTACGTCTACTCCAGCATCAAGAACAACGTGCTGCTGGGCTCCATCTCCGGTGAGGCCCGGTACCGCCTCCAAGGCCGCGGCTGATCACGTGACCGCTGAAGGTGCTGCTGATCATATGACCGTGGAGGGCCTGCTGATCATGTGACCACTGAGAGGGCCTGCTGATCATGTGACCACTGAGAGGGCTTCATTGCATGCTCTGCACAGCTCCTGAGCCGGTTATTAAATAACGCCAATTTCCCTGTGAAAGGAAAGTGAGACTTTGTGTCTGCCCCCCACCGCCCCAGCCCAGTGAGCTGCTGTCTAATTTGTAGTCTGGGTTTAAAAAAAATACTCCATAGCATTTGGGGGGGCATCATTAATCATTCATCAATGACTCTTCTCCCAAATCCATCATGGTAATTGTGTGAAATCCCAAAGGATCAGCGCATACAAATGAATATTAAGGTTTATCTCTGCCGCAGAGCTGGTGCTGGAATCGTTAAAAGCAGTGAAATTTACACAGTGGCAGTTATTGCCCCCCCCCCACTCATGCCTGCTGAATGCACAACATCACCGCTGAAAGCTGGGCCACATCGCCAATACTGAACATGCTCCTATATGATCATTGAAACTTGCCGCTAACTCCTGTTATGGAACCATGGATTTCTTGTTAGTTTGTTTTTTTCTCCTTTGCGAAAGAGCTCCAGATGTAGTCTGGCTATGTTTGATTATTCATGAGAGGTCGGGCTTTAAGCTTATTTGAATTCACAGCGACTTTAATTGTTATTTTGAATTGAAGTCATAATAAAAAAACGTCTGACTGTGTTGGAAAAAAAAACACCGAGGCACCGTTGGGTCACCGAGGCAAGGATGTTACTTCAGAGGTGACACTAAGAATCAGACATGTTTTAAACCCTATTTTAACAAGCATAATCCCATTTTTTGTTTAAAATAGCAATTTTTTATTGCAAGATGTAAGAAAATATCACAAACCCCTGGATACTTTGTAATGGAGAAAACTAATGGGAAAAAATTGATTTGGGTGGTTCTACTTGGCGTTTCCTTAGCTGGGGGCCGGGGGAGGTGAGTTATCTCCCTTCGCCTGAATGATTTCTCACTTCTGATGAAAGTTCAGTTGTGAAGTCATATGGCCCTGAAAGTTCACAATGCAACATACAGAATGTTCCTTTGTTTAAGGTTCCTCCCTGGTTCTGTTAAAACCCTTATTTATTCTGAGTACCACGTTTCTTGTGGAATACATGCAGATGTGCTGTCTTTTATTGGAAAGAATAGCGAATCTGTAGCTTTCATGCTGGATGTCGGGTTAGGGTTAGTGGTAATAAGAGCAGGTCTTCCAGGGCGGCCCGGCTGAGGCCGCTGGCAGGTACGCCCGGCCTGAGCAGGTCTTCCAGGGCGGCCCGGCTGAGGCCGCTGGCAGGTACGCCTGGCTTTGAGACGGCCTGGTGTGTTCGTTAAACCTTTTAGCCCCATGGTCCCTGGAAGCTGCCCCAAACCACCAGTGACAGATTTGACCATGTAACAGGGGTCCATCATAACATATGCGCTCCTGTTATCCTCAGCAGTGCCCCATGACCCCCCCCTAACTGGGCTGCAGGCTCTCCACACAGAGCTTTTAACTCCCGCACTGCTGGCCCCCACCTTCAGCTCTGTGCCCTTTTGATACGCCCATCTCTGCTTTTCCTGCTGCTCTCTTATTATTTTACCCCTCCTTTATTACTGCCCTATTTCAGTAATATTGAAAATGATAATGACACCATGATGTTATTCAGTTTTTATGTGGTTTTAAAAATAGTCTGATGTGCAGATTATTTTAAACCAGCTTTATCAATTATGATTTTGTCTTCTACCTAATACGCTAGTATTTTATCATCTTTTTCAAAGATGATAGTATTTTTATCATCTTTTTTTAAGAGCTGGAGAATGTTCAGAATTTTTTTAAAAAGACTGTTGGTTAGAACGATAGCAGAACTACTGGGATACATGGACTTTAAGCATCATAAACAAAAGTAAATCTTTCTTCTGCTGTTCCCCTGTAGAATACCTCACTGGAGCCAAGTTATGGAAAAGTACATCTTTCTGCCTGTGGCTCCAGTTATATTGAATCGGCCACAAGCTTGACTCATAAAATGTCATATGAGGACAGCAAGACAGACAGACTGACGTTTCCATAGTGTATTGGTGCATCTAGTGATTTAATTTGTCATAAATAATGCAGATCAATTTGATAACCTGATCAATTCATGATATGATGATAGGTAGATGTGCATATGAATAAGATTATATGGATACTCTGCATGACTTTATACATAAAGGCATTTTCTCCCTCCAAAGTGCTCTTCCCGTTCTAGCACTGTGGGGGACTGCTTTATGGAGCTGCTTCTGGAAGCTTCTGTTATTTTGCAAACAGAACTTGCTCCGCTGTTTGTAGCCATGCAAACATTTCATCACAGCACACCTAATGATCATCTCAACATCTCTGCTGCAGTGGAGCAGCAGGCAAGCGTGGTGATTTAGGGGCTGCGTTCATAACCTTGAGCTCGCCAGATTAAGACCCAGGAGCTGCCCTGTTTTCCTACCCTTGGGGGAGATACTTCTGCCCTGAAAGGCTTCATACTCAACAGAGGTCACAAAGTTGTCAAGAGTTGCCCTAAAGGAACTGCGTTTGATCTGTTGATATCGTCACTGTTTCTTTGCCAGGTGGGACAGACATCATCTCCTGCTTCATGGGACAGAATATGACTGTGCCTGTTTACCGTGGTGAGATACAGTCCCGAAACCTGGGCATGGCTGTGGAGGCATGGAGCTATGATGGTGAGAACAAGGGCAGCGTGGATGCTCGGCATTCTAACACTTATTACTATTAAAGTTTCAGCAATCTAATGCATGAGATTTTATATACTGTGCCGGTATACAGGGATTCCCTATGAAGAGAACAACCTGTAATATTTTTCCACTTTGTTATGCCTCATCAGATATCTTTGTACATTATCTTTCTTTTGTGTTTGAGGAATATTTACTTGTGCTCAGATTTGCACGCTAGGCAGTGTTGTCTCACACAGATTCAATCCACCGACTCGCTCTCTGGGCATGTGCGTGGCTTGCGAACTTTTCCTGTTTCCATCTCCCCTGGGTTTTTTTGATGTAGTTCATAGACATCGTGTAATTTTGTAGTGAGTTTCATGGGAGGCTTGGTTTTACGTGTCAGACAAGCAAACGGTGGGTATGAAGGTCTTTCTTCCTGTGTCCCAGGAAAACCAGTATGGGGGGAGAGTGGGGAGCTGGTATGCCTGAAGCCCATTCCCTGCCAACCCACCCACTTCTGGAACGATGAGAATGGGAGCAAGTATCGAAAGGCGTACTTCTCAAACTTCCCAGGTACGCTGTCGGCCTGCTGCCCCGATTGGCTCAGCCTCTGGCCTGTCGCCGTCAAAGCATTCAGCACCTGACTTCATCCATCCTGCCGAAATGCAGCCATTTTTTCCAGATTTTTTTGCAAGAGACTTGTACACTGTAGTATATGACTTATTATTCTTGCATATTTATGCAAGAAATTAAACCTTGTTATATTTTTTCCTATTGATTTGTATAGTGACTTTACTGGGTAACTTTCTGAAATAAATCATCACTAAATCTTGTGCCATCTTAAATTTGCTAGAAAATATAAAACTATGTAAACACTAAGTGATGGTACCTGACACACACACACACACACACACACACACACACACACAGAGCCTGGAGCTGTGAGGCAGCACTGATAAGGAGCATGAGATTTTGTATACTGTGCAGCTATACAGGGATTCCTTATGAAGATATATGTGTGCATATGTATATGTGTATGTATATGCGGAGCGGTTTTTTTAATTAAGGCTGGAGCGGTCGCTCTGTCTCGCTCCAATTTCGCTCCGATACTGCTCACACTATGATTCTGAGGCGTGCCCAAATCTACCCAGAATTCATCTGTACAATTATCAAGACTATTACAGAAATTGGCCAAGATGGAATTCGCAAAGTATTTCACAAAGGAGACTGATCGATCATACAAGTGTAATATTCTTATCAAACGTATAGATGACAATAATGTAGAGCAAGAATAACAAGGTGGTGAAACTGTTTCAGTGAGTAAAGATTCACTTTGGAATCATTTTTCTCAGAAACATGAGAGTGTTTTATGTGAACAGACGGAAGCCAGAGCAAAACGTGAGCAAGTTTTATATGGTTGTAGTATATCAAGTCTATAAATTAAAGTATAAAAGCCTATATTGGTAAATATTGGTAATCAAATAAATTCGTTTTGTCATTCAAAGTAGGTCTAATAGGATTTTTTTAAATTTCACGTAACGCTGTAAGTGAAAATTTATTTTATAGAGACGCAGCAGCAGCATCAACAGAAAAAAATGAGGAATTTAAAACGTAGATGCTTAGCCTGTATATTCTTTAGACTATTAAGACCATATTGATTCCTTTATTTTTAAGCCTATTTTTGTGTGGAATGCCATTGCCAAACGTGTCCGTTGTTGCCTATATATGTAGCTTAAAAATAAATATTTTCTGAGTGGCAATGTTGCTGTTGCTCATATTTCTTTATGATATAAGGCTTCGGTTTAAGGTGACATTTGTTAGGCATGCAGATTATTTGTCCCTCTTTTAAATTGGAGCGATTTGACTGGAGCGGGAGGATATTTTAGTGGAGCGAGGAGCGGTGTTGAGCGGAGCGGCTTAGTGCGAATTAGAGCGGAGGAGCGGGTGGAGCCAACAGCCTAGTGAGCGAGGAGCGGAAATTGTGTGTGTATGTATGTATG